TTAAAAATAGTTTATCATATCTATAGATTGGGCACTTCGACAGGGTGCAGTGATAATCAATAACAACTAAGCAGTAGGGGCTTCATACATTCAGACATCTTTCCATCTAAGGTACACGCTATATAACAATAGATTAGTCCATGGGTTAATAATTTGTTTAAGTAGTTAACATTGGTAGTGTTTTTTGTACGTTTTTGTTTTGTATTTGCTTTTTACTTTGCATATATATATATATATATATATATATATATATATATAGATAGATAGATAGATAGATAGATAGATAGATAGATAGATAGATAGGTACATTTTTTTAACAAGTGTGAAGACCGGTAGAAGAAATAAATAGTGCTTAAAATAAAACTGAACATCTATCCAAATATTGGTCTCCACTAAGAATAATTACTAACTTTTGAACTAATACATACATACATATATATATATGTGTGTGTGTGTGTGTGTGTGTAAGGGAGAAATTATAGTTGTTCCAAGAGAAAAGTGTATATTTTAAAGAGAGAAGACAGCGCAAACGTTTTTGCTTATAATGTGGATATTTTTTAAATTATATTTTATTTTCTATATTTTTTTGTTTCGGGTCTTGTGACCCACATTAGGCGAAGAAAGGTTATTTCCAAATATTATTTAAAGAAGTTAATTTGTATTGATTTTTTAACCATTGTCTTTTGTGTGTAGTAGCAATCTAAAATCATCTTAAACTGATGGAAGAGTTCTTTTCCTGTAGGATTCATCAGAGAAGGGAAAGGAATGAGGTTTTGTTCTTATCTTTTTATGCCCTGTGAATCTTTTTAGACCATTCTCCATTCTTGTGTATTATATGTATGTGTTTTTTTTGCTCGTGTGTGTATATATATTCCTTCTCCATACATATAGTTTTACTACAAGGAAATAATATATATATATATATATATATATATATATATATATACTTTGAATGGTGTGTAGGTTTCGTGTGTGTGCGTGCGCATGTGGTCTTTCTATGTGTTTGTTTTTTCCATACGTGTGCATATATTCGTTCTCTATGCATATATATATATCATATATTATTATGAAGAAATCTATACAGTAACTACATATATTTTGTATGGTGTGTGTGCGCACGCGCGTGTGTGCGTATGGTTCGTCTAGTATGTTTTGCCACTATGTGTATATGGTTTGTGTTTATGTGTGGGATGTTATGGTTTGTTTTGTGCTAGTTTAAATTTGTATATGAAGTTCTTTTCTTGTATTTGTAGATAAGAGTAATCGTTTGATTGATATATTGTAAATTTACCAGTGTTACATTTGTGGATGTGTTGTGACATAAAAGTGTTTTCTGTTGTCTGGCAGTTTAATCTTGCTTTTGTGTAGGGAAACTCTTTTAGTGCTTGAATTATAACTATATAGAATTTGTTGAATTTTGTGCACTTAAGTGCATAAATCACATTTCTGAAGTTACAGTTAAAGTATTGTGAATGTTGTTGTGGGATCTTCAAAAGGATAGCAGTTTCCTTCTATAATGATATCACAAAAACCACATCTATTCTTGTTGCATTTTGTGATCCCTTGTATTTTGTGTTGATTAAATTTGGATGGGGCTAATACGCGTTTTAGATTTTTTTTAATTGGTGTTTGCTTATTATTATTTGATTGTTTTAGTATACCTTTCATTTTATCATTTTTGTTAAGTAGATCTGGATTTCTTTTTATTCTGTAAATAGTTCTGGATTGTTCTTGTTGTTTATTAAGATGAATGTTAAAATAGTTGTTGCGTTTCGTAGTTGGTCTAAATTTATTATTTCTGTTAGTTGAAAACTTCTTGTTTATTAGTGATGCGGTATAACCTCGTTTTTTTTAGAGTAATTCTTCTAGGTAGGTTTTTCGGGGGTGTTTGTCGGTCACTATAATGCAAATTCTACGTGCTAGGGGATGCAGGATGGAATTTAGACAGCTTTTTAGATGATGGCTCTTGAAATGAAGATATTGTTGCCTGTCTATAGGTTTGTGGTAGATATCTGTGATAATGTGGTTAGTATTATTTCTAATGAATATATTTAGGAATGGCAGTTCGTTAAAATCATGTCCTTGCGTGACTTTGATCTTCGGGCGTAAATTTTTGAGGAAATTGTGTAATTAGTTAATATTGCCCCATGAGTGTTTAAAGAAGCTGAAGCAATCATCTAAGTATCGCTTCCAAGATTTAGTGAAGTGTGTTTTAATATTTAGCCCATATATTTGTTCTATCTTTCCATAGGGGTTTTCCTCTAGGTAAGCTAATGTTAAGGTGGCAGCTGTTGGTGGTATTTTCTTCCCCATCGCCGTACCTAGGGTTTGGATATAATTTTTTTGTTTCACATTCAAAAATTGTTGTTGTTTAGGATTAGGTCTATACTATCGATAACGAATTCTTTGATGAATATGAGATATAGTATTTTTAGGTGTTATTTTTTTTTTAATCAAGAATGAATGTTAACCTAATTCATGGGGTATGTTTTTATATAGGCTATTAATGTCAAAAGTTGTTATGAGTGTCCATGGCTCTACTTTTTGTGGTATGGAGTTAAGGAAGTGGATATCGTCACTGATGTAATTTTAATAAATATATCTATTAGAATGTGCTATTTCATTTTTGCGTAATTTAGACGACAGTTTATCCATCGCAACCTTAGTGTGTGTGTGTGCGTGTGTGTGTGTGTGTGTGTGTGTGTGTGTGTGTGTGTGTGTGTGTGTGTGTGTGTGTCCACTTTTATTTTTAGATCAACCATAAAGGCCTTAAAAAAAGTAATTCTTATGTTTAGTTCATTTGAAGATCTTTTGAAAAGTGGGTCATGGAGAGACCTTTTCAGTACCCTAATATTTTATATATTGGTATACTTACTATAATATCTAATACAGTTTAATTTTACATCAGACAGGAGGAGTAGAAGTAATAAACAGTATGTCACTATATACGGAGAAGTACTTTCTTATCGAGTGTTCTGTGCTCTCGCTCTCGTTATAAAGAAGCAGATTTAAACAGCAGATTATGAGACTCTGGCAAGATATTTATTGTTTAAAAGTCATTAGTATCACACACACATACATACACACACGTGCACACACACATGCACACACACATACACACACACACATAGACATACGCATAGACATACACACACACATACACACACACATACATATATATATATATATATATATATATATAAACTTCGGCCATGTGTTACCTTCGGGAGCTATGTGAGTCCGCTGAAAAATCCATATATGTATATATATTTAAGAAGTGCGGACACTGATGGCAATATCCAGTGGTGACAGTTTTGTTTAATGCTAAAACACAAGCTTCAGCCCAGGCAGGAAACAGACCGTCGCAACTAAGGATTGACATCCCTATCCACACACCACTTTACACACACTATAACCTCTTTTGTCCTGTAAATATAGTACACCATAAAACTATATTTTATCATATATATATATATATATATATATATATATATATATATATATATATATATATAGTTGTATATTTAGGCAGCAATCCTTCGTTTATGCATGTTTCATTAAAAACGACAGACAGGTACAACGGTTAAGCTTTTTATTTAATTTTCAAGTGTCCAGAAAAGAAAGCTCTTGTTTGAACACAAGAAAAATTAAATAAAAAGCTTAACCGTAGTACCTTGTCTGTCGTTTTTAATGAAACATGCATATATATATATGTATATATATATATATATATATGTGTGTGTGTGTGTCTGTGTGTGAGTATGTGAGTGTGTGTGTGTACATGTATATATATGTATGTTAACCCTAAAGCAGCTCCCCGGAAGTTTCTCTACGGCACTCGACTCCAGCATAAACAAAAGAAGCGCTGCAGCTTGCCATATAGCAGAGTTTGAGTGTGAAACTGCTGTTCGTGTTCGAGATGAGTGAAGGTCTTTCAATTCATGAAGCCGCTAAGATCTTCAAAGAACATGCAGTGAGTTGGGAAAACATCAAGCGTGCAAAATCAAGGGCAAATCATTTATCCAGCAATCTAGCAATTTTCATGCGATTCATGTGGCAGAGTGTATCTCGCCAAAGCAGGCTTTGTTATCCCAAAAGCTATTGGTAGACCTTTCACAAATTATGGTCAATTCTTTTCAGGAAATAACATGCTGGAACCACCCCAGTTTCACCCATTGCATGAAAACACACTAGCAAGCTGAACAGACTTTATAAAACAGATCAAACCCTGTATAAAACTTATTCTGCCCCATATACAATAAGTATTGCAAGTCACTTGCAGTTTTCAAAAATTGGTCAAACATGTCAGTGATGATCATACTCGTTTAAAGTGCCAACAGCTATCAAGGTAACCCTGTAAACTCTCCTGTAGTGTTTAGATTCACAGTCTCACTATACCAGGTGTTGCTACTGTGGTTTCACGGCTTTTACAGTGACGATACGTTAACACCTTAATCAACTGATTTTGAAATGTACGTTTACCTTCTCCTAGAGTCGTTACCAACCAACGCTAGAGAGCCCAGTCTGTCCTGATACTAACACCTAAGGGAAACAGTATTTGTGTGAAAGGGAAAACAACGACCTCATCAAGAATTTTAAGTTGTCACGCCGATCACACTTTCTGTATCAATAATTCACACACACACACACACATATAGATAGATAGATAGATAGATAGATAGATAGATAGATAGATAGATAGATATGTATGTATGTATGTATGTATGTATGTATGTATGTATATATATAATGGGTCATTTTTTAATTCTTCGTCAACCATTATTTTTTCTTTCTTTCTCATTTAATTGTTCTTTCTTTCTTTATTTCTCAATCATTTATTTTTTTAATTTTTTCTCGTTTAATTCTTCAGTCATTCTTTCTTTCTCAATCATTCTATTTTTCCTTCTCGTGTAATTGTTTTTCTTTCTCATTCATTTATTTTTCCTTCTTTCTCATTCAATTTTTCCTGATTTCTATCTTACTGTCTTCTTTCTGTATTAATGATCTATTTTTTTTATTTCTTTCTCAATCATTTTTTCTTTCTTTCTCATTCTTTCTTTCTCTTTCTTTCTTTCTTTCTTTCTTTTCCGTTGGTGTCTTTCTTTCTTTCTTTCTTTCTTTTCTGTTGGTGTCTTTCTTTCTTTTCCGTTGGTTTCTTTCTTTCTTTCTTTCTTTCTTTTCCGTTGGTGTCTTTCTTTCTTTCTTTCTTTCTTTCTTTTCCGTTGGTGTCTTTCTTTCTTTCTTTCTTTCTTTCTTTCTTTCTTTCTTTCTTTCTTTCTTTCTTTCTCGGTCATTTATTTTTATTCTATCTTTCTCTGTTTCTATTCTTTTTTCTTCCTATATCATCTATTTTTTATTTTTTTCTCAATAATTTATTTCTTCTTTCCTTCTCATTTCTTGTTCTTTGTTGCCCATTTTTTTCTTTTTTCTGTCTTTTTCTTTCTTTATTTCTTAATCATTTATTTTTTAACTCTCATTTAATCCCATTTGTTTATTCTTTCTTTCCTCATCATTCTTTCTTTCTTCCTTCCTTCTCAACAAACAACTGATGCCACCATTTTGAAATCCATAGACAAATCGTCTACTTTAACTTATGTTAAATAAAACACCATAATTATTCAATGGTGAACAGAATGTCATTTGGTTAGTTTTATATTCAGAAAGTATTGAACGTAAACAAGAAATTACCGAGAAACATTGTTTTTTAATACTTTAAAAGTACAATGCAGCTGCAAATTTGCTTACATATACTGGTCATTTTTGATGGTACAAATAAAGCAGTAAACAGAAGGTCGATGAGTAAAACTTTTGGTTTTGGATAGAGATATTCAGAAGTAGCTGACCCATGTGTAATCCAATCAGTTTTTATTCTGGTATTTACATAATTTATATATTTTATATACTTGAGTAACTAAGTATTTATCATATGTATCATATATAATTACTAGCAGCATGGCGCAGCGTTGCCCGTGCTTGATTCAAAAATCGTACGACTCATACAGCAATCGCCATCACTTGACTTAAAATATTTTTGCTCTTCCTTGCCTTTAAAGGAGTGCCTTTTTCCGTGCTGATGTTGCTACATGCCTTACTTCTTGCCTATCTCACACTGCGAATTTTTTCGAAGCTCTATACTAAACATTAAATCTGTTACGAAAAAAGAACTAAACAAAATGAACACAAAACGATCAGCTTTAAAAAAAGGACTCGTAACTGGAAAAACCGAATGAAAAAAGAATGTTAACAACAAATACTTTTTCACACCCAACTCAGTTCTGCGGAATCAGAATCAACTTAATTCGTTTAAGCAAGCGAATGAACGAATTGGAGTAATGCGCCATGCAGATTTAAATTTTTCACACTTGTGACGAATGCAGCTAACGATTTTTTTTTGCATGCTGGCATGCTAGTTAACATTCGTGTCAGTCAGCTGTTGGCTCTCACGCTGGCCAATAGAATCTTCCTGCCTATTCGTGGCAGCCAGCTATTGGCTCTCACTCTGGCCAGTAAAAAATGGCCGCAAACTACTATCGATGGGAGTTGGGAAATGCAAAGTCGGTATTGGTCTTCCCGCTAACTTGGAGCACGTGCATGTAAATTTTGGTGCAAATCTGTCGAAAATTGCAACCGTGCATTCGTTACATACACACACACACATCCTGCCTTTTATAGATAGAGATGTACTTGTAGCTTAAAAGTTATCAGTTATCAGGATGTGCGTGTAGCATAATGATTATTGACATGAAAAGTCGACGAACGTGGTTCAAGTTCCAGCCTGGACAGTTACATTCACTTCCATATGATTGCCATTAGGAAGGGCATGGACCCACCTATTCTCCGTATGGTTATGTGTTAAATAGCAGGATAAACTGGACACTCTAACTTTAGTCGAGTTTGTGGCAGTCAACCTAGAAAAAGTACAACTCTAAATTTCAAACTGTGGGAAAGGCAATTGGAAACCACTCCATTATTTAAGCAAGAAATCATGGCAAATAAAAACAGGAAGATGTGGAGAGTCTTAGCCGAAGGGATATGACATAAAGAATTGCTAATGTATTACAATTTCCACCATAACGTTATGATTACTTAACAATTCCTTAGTCTTAAATTCTGGAAATGGATATTAGTAAAATTAAGAATCAAAAAGGAAATACAAAATCTCAAATAACCACCACTTATGAATATATTCATTGATATCTACACTCACCTGAAGATTTACAATAATGCAATGGCATAGGCAAAGACATTCTTACCTGCTCTATGTACTTATGCTAAACTAAAGAAAAGAAATCTCAAGTACTTAACACCTGCTTCCCTGCAAAAGAATAATACTTTTTCCGTTCATGTTGAGTTATGACTTGCTTGTAATTTACTCGTAATTTTATCTCCGCTCGCTTACGATATTTGCAAGATTATTTTCTTTTGATTGTATGTTTAATAATATATACATTCATACATACATACATATATAGTGTCTTGGGTATAACGATAAACTACATCCGGCAGCAAGATCTCGGATCGGGAGTTTTTAAGGAGCGTGGAACCACGTCTTAATCGCTGTTGTTCCCAGCTCATCCTAGCCCTGGGTGGCAGCACCTGTTAGGGTCCCAGCTAAAGGCAAATAGTGAATCCCAAAACTGGGGCCAAAACACTATGGAAGTGTAGAAATACATTTTTATAGTGAAGAAGCCAGCAATACATTTGTATAGTAAAAGAAAATACCAGCAATACATTTTTTGTAAGGAAAAAATATTACCAGAAATACAATTTTATAAAAGATAGTACCAGCAATACATTTAAAAAATATTACCAGCAATACATTTTTGTAAAAAAAAAATACTAAAAATTACGGCATTAAATGACTCGAAAGCGCTTGGGACAATGAACGAGATGGTGAGTTTTGTTCTCGCTCATCACCACCAAACGGGAAAATATAAGAACGCTGGAAAAACTAAATCAAAAATTAATATTTGACGAAAGATATTTAAAAGAATGGTTACTGCCCAAATACACATTAATGGCAAACACACACACACACACACACACACACACACACACACATATATATATATATATATATCCATTTAAACGTTATTTTTAGTGGATACTCGTATTTGAGTAGGCGTCCCGTTAATTCATTAAACAGTATATTTAAATATACTGTTTAATGAATTAACGGGGCGCCTACTCAAATACGAATATCCAGTAAAAATAATGTTTAAAGTGATAAAAATTCATATATATATATATATATATATATATAAAAGAAATCTGTATTATTAGCCGACGCGTTTCGTCCAATGTGGACTTTTTCAAGGCAAAAACGGAATGAATTTATTGAAAACAAAGTAACTATTAACAACAGACAAAATGTCCTTAGCAACTACAAGTATTTAGAAAACGCTATTTCAGTTGACAATATGAGTACAATAGCGTTTTCTAAATCCTTCTAGTTGCTAAGAACATTTTGTTTGTTTTTAATAGTTATTTTGTTATCAATAAATTCATATATATATATATATATATATATATATATATATATATATATATATATATATATATATATATATGGGAAATTGTATGAAAAAAAGTGGAAAGGGTTACTTGTCAAATTTCCCAATACTGTTCTTGATAATATGTATCGTCATCTCATATATATGTTTTTTTTTTTGGTGGGGAGTGGGGGCGCACGCGCGCGTGTTAGTACATATAGATAATAATAATAATAATAATAATAATAATAATAATGAGAAAATACGTGAAAATTAGGAGAATCTTACTTTTTTTCAGGCTAGCAGAACTTCTGCCAAATAGCCCTATAATATTCAGTTAATTAGAAAAAAATCAAGTGGCTTATCTGATTAGCTGACTTAAGAGATTCGCAGCGAAACGTTTATAAGAAGCAGATATTCAATATATAAATTAATATATAGTCAATAAATTATGTATATATATATATATATATATTACATCAAACATTACTATAGTGGATACTCGAATTTGAAACAGATGTTCCATTTTTATTTTAAACAATGTGTATTACATATATCGGCCTCAAACAATTGCTTATTAGTACTGGAGTAAATTTAGGGTCAGCTCAGTGGTGATGAAATTTTACTACTTTAGTCTTGGATGTATTGAATGGTACATGTTAATATGATTTTCTTGACATTCTAAAACCCTCATCATTCACTCAACCATTGAATTTGTTAGCTTTTCCACTGTTTCGACATAAGCATTACTTGCAGCAAGTTTTATTGCTTTACAGAAATCATCTTTACTTGTTTCTCAATCTTATATAAATATTTTTTTAAATGATGAACCACAAGTTTTGTAATGAATTAATATTTGGAGATGTCAGGAAACATTTGAAAAATAATTCAGTGTCTATGAAATCATTTTTTTCAGCAAGGTAGGCAGTAGTCACATTTGGAGAATGTAAACGAACATTGTATTGCATGAATATACTCTTTATATATTTGGGGCTGTGACCTGTACAAATAAAAAATGTTTTCTTTCAGAAATTACAATAATTCTCTGCAATTAAATTGACATGATAATCAACTAGTGGGGGTTCTAAAATCTTACTGCCTACTAAGCCTAAAATATTACTCCATCTTTACCATTGTCTTTTACGTGGTTTTGATTAAATAGGAGTAGATAGGTCTGTCTCTCGCCCGTTTCATATTCCCCCGATATCATTTGAACAGGTGTAGAGGTTTATCCCTTGTTTCATATTTAGGATGATGTCTCCGGTTCCTTCTTCTAAAGCCTAAAATAAGGAGGCTACGACTCTTCGCAGTTTTCGCATTTCTGCTTTCCGACTGATAGCAAGGAACCCATACTCTTAAGTAGCGCTTAGAGAGGATCAATAGTCTCATAATGTCGGGATTCTTGCAGTGCCATGTCGCACATGGATAGGTGTCCCTGCAAGTACCTTCGATGAGCAACCCTGATGTCACACTATGCTGTAGCTTGTGCTAATTTCCAGACTCTGAATCAGCTATCAGGTCCCTCTACTATAGATTTACATTCTGCAATAAAATTTCATGTTGACAAATCAATTTTCCTGCACTTCTTCACTCAAAATATGCGTTCCTTTTCGAAATGATTACGTAAAGATAGTTTTATTTATTATCAATTCTCGTAACAAACTGTTTTATTAATGCGAAATGACCAGAAACATTTCACCCAAATAAATTCGGAATGATTAAACGGAAAAAATAATTCAAATGAGAAGGGGTCCAATAGTTTTGAGTGCAATTATATAAATGCATTAAAAGGTAGTCATTGAAATAAACTGTTAATATAAACAAAATGGCATATATATATATATATATATATATATATATATATATATATATATATATAGTCATCCACAGACAGCTCATCAGTGTGGCTAGACGCCCGAGAAATTTTCACAAAAAATATTCGTCCTCCGAAATCGGTAAATGTTGTTTAATACTGTTTATTATAAACAGAGCATTTACTTAAATATTTGTATCAATAAAAAGAATGTTAAAATGTCTTAAAATAATTGTCGGACATTGTCCATTTCATAATGTGTGACGTCATTTGTACGTGAGAGATTCATGGAAGATTGAAGTTTAAATACAGTAAATTCAACCTTGCTAACCGAACGCTCCTTCGTGGCCAAATCGGTCAAGGCACATCAAGCTAAATGACGGTTCCGTATATGATACAGGTTTGAATCCTGTCGGAGGACGAATATTTTCTGTGAAAATTTCTCGGGCATTCAGGCTGGTAAATGTTGTTTAATACTGTTTATTATAAACAGAGCATTTACTTAAATATTTGTATCTATAAAAAAATGTTAAACATAAAATGTCTTTATATATATATATATATATATATATATATATATATATATATATATATATATATATATATATATACGCACGATGATTTAATGAAAATCCTTGAACCAATCAATGATTTCCACTAATATCTAACGTTTGATCAGAATTTGGGTGCCACTTTTCAGTACGCAAATAAATTTATCCTGTCTCTTAAAGTCAATCTGTTTCTTTGAAGGATCATCCGAAATTGCATTTGAAGGCATGGACCACTCCATCGAAAAGTGTTGGCTTTTAGAAGAACAACAGTTCAACATCAGAATCACCCTTTTTACTTAAAATCAAACTAAAAATTTAACCAATGCTTTCTGAAGGAAACGGAAAGAAAATAGTTTTAACTTTGAGAGAAGGTAACTTAAAATGATAAATCCATGTAAACAATATTATGATATCTAGTATTCACATATGCAGCATTTGTTCGTCAAATGTTAAGTTACAGTACAGAGATTTTATGGCACTATTCTTTCAAATAGGGTGAATATGTGACATAAAGGGTCCACACAAGATTGGCTTAGAACACTCACGAAGCAAATTGTGAATGATTTTATCTAGCATCTAGAAGTGTAGATCAATGGCGTAGTCATTTTTTTTACGATTGCAGACAGTAATATCTACGTGGGTAATCGTCAAAGACAACACCCGTAGCCTACAAAAAAAATGAAATAATATAATTAAATAAAAATTTTTGTGATGGATTTCTATTTGGCCGGAATTTACAAATTGTAGGATTACATAAACAGAGTTACATATTGATATAATGGAATATGCATACACCTGTGTTCCCCCTCACTGGAATATGATTGGCTGGTGTCCGTCATAAATACAGACAGACGTATAGGTACGACAGTGTCAAGAGCCTAAGTCTGAGAGTTAAGTCTATAACGACGCCCATTGGACTACGCCATTGATCTACACTTCTTACCTACGACTACAACGCGTACCAGTCGATTACTGCTACCGTATTCTACTTGATTATAGTAGCCAAAACCACTTAGCTACTTCGTTCAAATATATCCCTTTCCGGGACATATCTCATATGAAATGGTTTAGTTCCGGAGCCTCCCTTTAGCGGGGTACAGGCCGCCCGTCGAGATGTAGAGATAATTTCAGTGAGAGATGGGAAGAAAGGTGGTTAGTGTTCTCGCTGGCCAAAGGGAAGATGCGATCCGTTAGTCTGTCGTGAGAGAATACACAAGTAGCAGCAAAGATATTCCACCTGTCACCTTCATGTCACTAACTATGCTAGGCGGCTTAGGGAATAAATAAGCAAATATATTGAAAACATGATTCGTATTTTCATTAATCGCCGACGTGTTATTGTTCCTTTCGTTCCTTTACGAACGTACCCCGGGCCTTTTCTAATTTTTAGTACACACCGATGCAAATAAGGAAATAGAAAATTGGGTGATTTTTCCAGTTGGTGTATTTGTGTGTGTGTGTGTGTGTGTGTGTGAGAGAGAGAGAGAGAGAGAGAGAGAGAGAGAGAGAGAGCGAAAGATACAGACAGAGAGAGAGAGAGAAGATGGGGGAGAGCGAGAGAGAGCGCACCCCGGGGTATGTTTATAGACATGACTCTCTTGAAAATTAGTTTTCGAACTCATAGCTTTTGCCTGTAGCTCTGTTTGCAAATATGCGATTATCCAATTCACCATTCAGGTACATTATTTACATTATTCGGACTATCGTCCTTATCTTCGTCGCCATATTTATTACAACGTTTCGGCCGTTGAACGCTCCGGCCTTCCCCAGGTGGCTAGAATGTCAAACCGAATCCTTTATTTCGCTCACTGGGGTAGACTGTTCTAGTTCCACGTGCCATGTTTAATGGATGTTAGTTATCAGTTATCTCCTGTTAATTTTCCCTCTGAAAGTTCTCCACTGCCTTAACCGGGTATTGAACTCACACTCTTTGGGAACTCACTGGATCTAACCAACACCTTTATCCACTGTGCCATGTGTCCTTGATAAAGGGTTCGGTTTGACATTCCAGCCACCTGTGGAAGGCTGGAGCGTGCAACGGCCGAAATGTTGTAATAAATATGGCGACGAAGATGAGGACGATAGTCCGAATAATGTAAATAATGTACATAATCATCTCAGAAATATAGTCACCATTCAGGTGTATAACTGTGTTACTGATAAGAATGCAAAAAATTTAATGTAGTTTTTATTAGAGCCACATAAACAAATATTTTCCTAAAGGCTAGGCTAATGCTATAGTTATCATCTCAAAAACAGTAACTACGTAATGATCAACACTTTAATTGTTAACATTAACATTTAAATAAAATATTGCCTTTTCCAAGGGTGTACAGGATTTGTAAATTTTTCTTTTTGTTTCTCTGAAATTGTTGACGTCTTAAGGATTTGAATTACCATATTTACCATCGTATAAGACGCATACTTAAATTGAGAAAATATTACACGGCATCCAATGTGCTTGTACTATAACTAAAGAACCGTCTATCGAAACTCTAAATAGACAACTATAAGAGCTCGGGTTACTTTCAATGAGCAACACTATGGCAAATCATCTTGTACATCATGCGTCTTACAGATCGGCAAACACAGTAATTCTATTCTTACAAAAACAAAATGTGACACATTTGACTAGTCCCGAATTAATTTCTTTTTTTCTTTTTATCGTAAAACAGATCCATGTCCAAAGACCGGCAGTTTACTAAAAGAGTGGTATGAGCCGGGGTGTACAAAATGCAATTGCGTTAAAAATGGGTTTGAATGTTACAGGTGAGTAGTCGAATAGGATAATAAGAAAAATTAATGGCATCCCAAAATAAACATAATTTATATGGTCGCCACCTGATGTTTTTAACATGTTCGTGTAGGTAGTTCAATTATCAGTGTGTGCTCAACTACTGTAGACTTGGATCTGGTTTGGTACAACAGACTTCATTTGCCACAAACTGGATTCACCAAAGGCGTTAAATGGTTCATTTCACCGAAAAATCAAAAAACAGAAAATTCAAGGAAGGTAAATTGACATAAGATTATTATATGTTCTGACAACCAAATAATGATTTATGCCCAAACGACCAAGTAATGATTTATGTTCAAATGAACAAATAATGTTTATATGTTCAGACGCCCAAATAATGAATTTATACCCAGTCTACCAAATAATGATTTTATGTGTGGACAATCAAATAATGATTTTATAACCAATCGATCTAATGATGATTTTATATTCGTATGACAAAATAATGATTCTATATTCTGACGTCCAAATAATGATTATATTCCCGGACACTCAAATAAAGATTTTTATACCCAATCAAAATGATGAAAAGGAGGTAAAAAAAACCATGCCAAGACACGAAACAGAATATAGAAAACTACACAAAAAATTAAGGAAAAATGCTGGGATGCTAAAGAGGAATGGCTCAACAGAAAATGTGCAGAAATAGAAAGAATGAATATCATAAATAAGGCAGATATGCATAAAAAATAGGATAACTAACAGGACAAAAGTCATGCTCATTAACAGGATGCATAAGAATTCTATGTACGGTGTCCCTTCAGGACGTGGCTGATGTGCCTCTCCACAACTTCCTTGTTTTGTTGTTCTTAGTACCTTATTTTCTTGTATATAATACGAGAAATTTTGAATTAAAATTAAAGGCAAAAGTTGGGGTTGTATTATACACAAGTACAGGTTTCAGTAATTTTTAAATAGCTAAGAAAACCTCTTATTTGAAACAACAAGATTGCATATACCACCCAGCATAATAGATAACAAAACACAAAGTAAGCAGGTGTTGATAACAATTGTGTACAAACCGTATTTGATATGTCGGCAATATTTGCTTTTTGAAATCAGCGGACTTATAATCTTTTGTCTCACAGACAGGAAAGTAACCAAAAAATATTAAAAAATAAATGAAGTGAATCTATCATAATATATATATATATATATATATATATATGACAGAGGATATCTATCTGTGTGCTACCGTTTCACTCGAGATCCATCAAACCGATTTTGACCATACATTGTACAATGTAAGAGATAGGTTCTTAGCGTAAAAAATCGATAGTTTTTTTAAAATCAATAATTGATAAAGCCGATCGAGGTTACTTACATCATGACGAGCTAAACGATACCTCATTTTTATTTTTACGCCACTGCGTTAGGCCAAAAACCGCGAAAATCGAAAAATCGATTTCAACACAAATCGATTTCAACACAAATTTTAAACCAAAAACTCCCTCAATTTTCAAGCAGTCTAGTACAAACTTTACTCAATTGTAACCAATAATAAGTTGATTGTTTAACATTCATTTAACTTGATAACTGAGTCCACCCATATAGTGAAAACCCGCGTAAATCGCGAAAAATGGCGATTTGTACTGGTTTCTTTCTTATTTTTCGTCGATCTTTCAACCAATTTTCATCAAACTTAACAATTGCTTTATAAATGTATCCTCTTTTACATCTCTGGTAGCACACTGACAAATTGAATTTCAAAAACTCCAAAATAATTGTCGTCTGAAGTGTGTTTTCATGTTGCCTGTTTTTCCTCTTCGTATCTTCGGCTAATTTCGATTGAATAAATACTGACTACTTCTGTTATATCAGTAACTGCATTAACTCAAAATATTTTTTAATGAAAGTACTTTAAAGTAATTGAAGAAGATAGACTCGGTTACATCAAAACATGATGCTGTTTTTGCTCCATTCTAATTGAACGCTTTTGCTGATCGACCAGCTGCGTATGGCACCTAATGTTTTGATAACATTAATGTAACAACAAAAACCTAATTATTGTATAATAAATGTATTTTTTTATTTTGTTTTTTTCAAAAAAAAGAAAGGGCCGATAATTCCCATACTGTGAGGTGGTTGTTTCATATTCCTCCATTTGTTGACACAATATTCAGTTTGAAAAATTCAAACGATTTGAGAAAAATAAAATAAGATAGGTAAACCAACCCAACATAATTATATTGCTATATAAATAGTGTACAAGCATGGTAAGTTGTACTACACCCATGAAGAAATGGTGAATCAGGGCGTGGTTTCTCCAACAGGATGGAGAAGGCCCTGGATTTGGATAAGTAGTGTTCACTGGTACTTGTAATTTTAAACCGCAAAATAATTTATATGGTTACAACATTGAGATTTTAATGGAACTTATGATAGAACATTTACATAGAAATGGCTGTACTACGGAATTGTATTATAATTAAGGATGTAATTTATGCCCTGTTTTTAGCCTCAGAAACATGTTATATTTTACTCAAGTCTTTTTATGCACAAGAAAATACGATACGTTTTGTCTTTTTGCTATCTTTCCAAATCTCTGTTCTGACAACCATTTACAAAAACTTGTTAGGTAGGTTATTCGGCCTCTTTTGATTTCGATGTGTCTTGTGAATATCAAATTTTCCAAGCTCTCTGTTCTCATTATTTGCATCATAAATTTCAATTGTCTCTTTCTGAATCTAAATATAAGTGTAGTATTTGTTTCCATTTTACCCATACCTTCCTCGTGACTCACATGTTCAGTCCATGGCATTCTTCGTATTCTTCTGTAGAACCACATTTCTGTTACCTCAAGTTTCCACTTCATCTGCATTCATTTCTAACATAAACTTTAAAAAAAAAAAGGTCCCCATTTTGAGATTATTAATGACTTAACGAGACAGCGTTGATTTGGTTAAATTCTAAGGGGCCTTAGTTCTTGCGGGATTCTATGAAGGGCTAGAATCATCGTATACAAAAGTAACTTGAGGTTGATGCGGAGAAATAAAGCTCATATTTAATAAGGTTTACATTGGCCGCTTGGGAATACCAGGTGCTGTAAATGTGGATGTGCAGATGGTGTAATGTCTCGGAAATGTTAATCAAGGAGCCGAGTTCCAATTCCTGTTGGGTTCGTTATATTCACTTACACGCAAGTACCCTTAGGAAAAGTATGAATCCGGCTCTTCTCTCCCAGCTATGGGTTAATTAGTAAGACTTGTATCACCTAAACCATTACTGTCTAAAAATAAATAAATAAATAAAATTGCGTACAAAATATTTAGATTTCTGCATTTAATAACCCATAGAGATGTTGATATGCTGCTAAATAAAACCAACCAACCAACAACCATTTTATTCCCCCACCCCGTATAGTAAAACAAACGCGCCTGGTTTTATTATCTTTTATTGGATAGTCGCAAGCAATCGGTAATTAGTGACATAAAATATAATATTTCTATGTTAATCTTTTATTTCTTACAGTTGTGGTTCCAGCCATATTTTCACACGTCCAGATTGTTACCTCCAAGACAAAGCACCGCATGCCAATTACCCGTTGTGCTGTGAGAAGGAAACTATTTGCAAGGGTGATCCGAGATTTGAAGGAAAACTCCTCGAGGTTTACAAAACCTACGATGCTCTTTAGAACAAAGTCACGTATTCTCGTCACCAAGATTTTAACATTATTAATTCCGGTTCTTTTAACAGTTATTTCTATCATGGTTATTTTAGTCAATACACAGTATTAAAAGAGATCTATTTTGCATGGTATATCACCGAGGATTTTCGACTATCATGTATATTAGTCTATTTCAAAATATGAAGAATAAAAGTAACTCTGACGATTATCCTTTGAAAAAGAAGTGAAATTAAAATGGTCATACTTTGATAATTATTTGATAGTTATTCACATCATCCTCAAAACTTTTATACCCTGAGGATGATGAAAACAAATTATTATTTTGATGATGGCATGAAAAAATTAACGTATCAGAAAAATCAATCACTCTTCTTATTAACCTATAAGCATGTTTTTCGGAGTTACTTTTATTCTTTATGTTTATAGATTACTTTAAAATAATATTCAGAATAATCTTTGTATAATTCTCATTTCATATTCTTTTGCCCGCGTGAAATAAATTCGAAAAAGGTAAAGAACACTAAAGTCTCATTTTTGGTTAATCTAAACATTATTATCTATGGAATCATTATTCCATTATTTTGATGTTGTTTTTACGACTAATATATATTTTAAATTGTCAAATCAGATTCTAACAATCTAACTTGAAAGATGAAGACGGAGTGATTTCTTTCAGAAGTAGTTTCAAACTCAAGACCGTGTTAAGAAATTGAACAACTCTTATCGGCTAAAGAGAATTCTAAAAACCACATAGAATTCTTATCTCAGTTCTTACGCGATCCGCTTTCGTTTCTACCAATCCGAAAATATTGTTAGTGACTACGTAGACATATAATTTGTTTGGTAATAAATGATTACTATAGAAGGATTTATGTCAAATAAAACTATATTTATGAGTTATATATATATATATATATATATATATAATAAAAAGGCTTAAACACTAATATTCCATGGTCATAATTTATTCCATTGGAATCGTAAATACGATCCAATTCATCAGACCTACAAATTCAAAAAGAAAACAAAAAAAACAACTCCGGAAATAAAAAATAAAATTTAGAGAGAGTGTAAGTATAAGAGTGTGGGACGAATGTTAGAGCTATAGAGAGGGGTAACAGACGAGAGGTGGGGGATTAAAATTTAATAGACAGAAGTTTTAGAGAGGGGAGTCAAAGACGGTTTAAGTGAGAGAAATATGAATGTTGTCAGATGTCTAATACATGAAAGATGTAACCGGAAAGGATACATTTTGTGGTGACATACACACACAATAGACGATCTAATCTTAAAGATCAGGAGAAAAGGGAGAGAGAGGAAAAGAAAAGAAAAAGGAAAAGGAAAAAGGGGTGGGGGAACTAAAACTGAAGGGCATTTATTAAAAGGATATATATATATATATATATATATATATATATATATATATATATATATATATATATATATATATATATATATATATATATATATATAAATGTTGATACTGATTACATTTTGTACATCAAGAAATTTTTTAACGGTAGCTGAATCTAGAAGACCTTTTAGATTACATGAATCTCAGGATTTCATACAAATTATTTTCTCTACCAAATGTATTTATTTAATATTTATTATTATAAAATATGTTCCGTTTATATCTAAGGCAATTGTGTGACGAACAGAATGGGCAGAATTTAACTTCTACACAGAAACGTGCACACACGTATGCACACAACAATCCTCGCTCTTATGTTGAATGTAGAGCATGTATTATGTATGTATTCAGGTAGGTAGGTAGGTAGGTAGGTAGGTAGGTAGGACATTATATATGTATGCAGGTAGGGCATGTATGTATGTAGGTAGATAGGTCATATGTGTATGTATGTAAGGCATGCATGCATGTATCTATGTAGGTATGTATGTAGGGCAAGTATCTATGAAGGGCATGTATATATGTATGTATGTAGAGCATGTATATATATATGTATGCATGCCTATAGGTAGGTAGGGCATACCTATATAAGTAGGTAGGTAGGGCACGTATGCATTTATCTATGAAGAGCATGTATGTATGTATGTATGTAGAATATGTGTATGTAGATAGGTAGGGCATGTATGTAAGGGCAAGTATGTATATATATATATATATATATATATATATATATATATATATATATATATATATATTAAAGACATTTTTATGTTTAACATTCTTTTTATAGATACAAGTATTTAAGTAAATGCTCTGTTTATAATAAACAGTATTAAATAACATTTACCGGCCTGAATGTCCAAGAAATTTTCATAGAAAATATTCGTCCTTTGACAGGATTCGAACCTGCATCCTATACGGAACCGTCATTTACGCTGACGTGCCTTAACCGACTCGGCCAGAAAGGAGCGTTCGGTAGGCAAGGTCGAATTTACTGCTTATAAACTTCAATCTTCCATGAATCTCGTATATATATATATATATATATATATATATATATATATATATATATATATATATATATATATATATATATATATATGTATATGTATGTAGAGATCATGTCTGTACGTATGTATGCAGGCAGGTAGGATATGTATGTGCGTGGGTAGGGGTATACATGTATGAATTTATGTAGAACATTATGTATGTAGACAGGTAGGTAGAGCATGTAGTTATGTAGGGCATGTATATATGTATGTAGGGGATATATGTAAGTAGGACATGTATGTATGTATGCATATAGGTAGGTAGATAGGGTATGCATGTATGTTGGTGGGGCATGCGTGTGTTTAGGTCATGTATATATGTAGGTAGGGCATGTATGTATATATATACTTTGGTAGAGTATGTATGAATGTTAGGCATGTATGTATGCATGAAGAGCATGTAAGTATGTGGATTGGTAGGTATGTACGCAGTGCATTTATCTATGTATGTAGGGTATGTATATATGCATGTAGAACATGCATGTATGTAGGTAGGTAATATATGTATCTATACAGGACATGTATGCATGTAGGGCATGTATGTATATATGCAGGTATTTAAGCAGGTAGGGCATGTAGGTATTTAGGGTATGTCGTTAGGTAGGACATGTATGTATGCGTGTATGTAAGTATGGCATATATGTATCTATGTAGGACATCTATGTTTGTATGTATGCAGGTACGTAAGTAGGTCATGCTTTCGGTGTAATCTTGCTGGAAGCATCGACAAACTCAACAAATTCTAAATGAGATTTTATAACTCGAATACAAATTCATAGGCTGCTTTGATTTCAAATAAAACTCAAATAACTCCAGACCCCAAAATTCAATGTCTTCAATAACAAAATTTAAACATTTCATTTGTACAAGAGAAACACTTGCTTTCCTTTTGTTAGTTCTTCTTTTTATTTATTATAGCAGCAGCTTTTACTGACAAATAATCGCCTCTTTTTTCTGCTTAATATTTACGATTCATAATGAATAAAAAAAAATCTATTTGAGTTTATTTTCTTGTAGTGAAAAACAGAAATCAAGAGTGAAAAACGAAATCTATACACAGTTTTTTTTGTTTTATTCTTTTTATTTTTTATTTTATTTTATTTTTTATTTTTTTTATTTATTTATTTTTTTTGAAAGTTTTTGATTTTTGATCAGAAATTGTCAAGATAACTTTGATATATTTGAACTATTATTCTCCCCTTCCGTTGTTATAGATGTTATCATAGGTACATTTCAACCAAGTATTCTCTGGCCATCTTCAGCTGTCAATTATTTGGAGCTGGTAGGAGATATCAGCGATTATTAATTTGATTGAAATAAATAAGTAAATAAACACATCAACTCGCGGTGATAAGCAAATGTAAAAAGCATTTGCAAATGGATTCAAAAGGCTCAAAAATACTCAAATGATATCCTTTGGGATGGTGGCGTAATGGACAAAAGAATTGGTTAAAACGTTTTGCAGTTACCTCATGCTGGACGTATGAACAGAAAACTAGGGGTAACAGAAATGTAGTTCTACAGAAGGATGCTGAGAATTCTATGAATGGGGTGTGTAAGCAACGAAGAAGTCTTAAGGAAAATGGAAACAAAAAGAACACATATAACCAAAAAGAGACAGATGACCTTTCTAAGATACATATAACGAGAAAGGAGGGCGGGTACAATTTTACAGGATATATCGAAGGAAAGAGGAAAGGTGGCGGGTCACCTACGTGACGAGCTTGGGTGAATCAATTGTAGGATATTTGGCAAAGGTACAAACGTTTCTAAAGTTTACGCGGGGTTGGAGGTTGTGGAGAGCGATGATCACCCACGTCCTGAACGAACACGGCACGTAGAAGAAGAAGTAATTGTAAATTCTGTCGGGTAATGTAATCCATATGTTCTGGTTCACAGCGAGCGAACATGAAACGGCACCACAAGGTCAAAGACAGAATAGTCACCTTATGTAAAAGATTTCATATAAGGCCAAAATATTGTACAACTGAAGATGGTCAAATAGTACTTGACCGAAACTTTGTAAGATTTGTAGCAATCAAGGATGAGCGCAGGGGTTTGAATAAATCTAAATGTATGGATAAATCTATTCACTATAATACAATTTATCTTATGGCGTATTGACAGTCAACGGTAAAAAAAAAATACTAAACTGTATTTTCTGGTGGTCTTTTTATGATCAATAAATTGGAGTAGGATCATCTTTCATCATTTTTATAGCCAGTGAGTCTTTTCTCTTCTGTTTTTGCCGATTGTAGAAAAATATTCCCAGAAAACTTCCACCAATTCCAATAATAAGCATGAAAAATCCGAGCAATCCCATGGAAGCTATACAAATAAAACAGAAAAAAAATCTTGTGAAATTTTAGTAAGCATTATAACTTTTATATGTTTATAATAATAATAATAATCTAGGAACTACTTGACCTTAGGTCTCTGGTTGGGACTCGGAGGGAAATATACATGCAACAGAATTCAAAAATAATAATAATAATAATAATAATTGTTCTCAAGAGTGCGGCCCACACTTTACGAAGGGCTTTATC